GAAAAAAACCCTAGAGGAGGATTTATGGCCTCTGAACCCATCACAATGAAAAGGACAGGTTCAACTAGGAGTCAGTGGCTCACCTTATCATCCTAGCTACTCAGGAGGCTGAGGGCTGAGGATCGTGGTTCAAAGCTAGCTCAGGATGGAAAGTCTGTGAGACTCTTCTCTCCAATGAACCAACAAGAATACTGGAAGTGAGCCCCCCCCCCGCCCCCCAAAAGGCCCATGTAGGCATGTAAGCAAGCAAAAAGGACAAGCTCATCATTCTCCATCTGTGGCTCTCAGAATGTGGTCCAAGACGAGATATAGCATCATTGGAGAATTTGACAAAAATGTATTTGGGGCCCACACCAGATCGATGAATCAGTCATTCTGGGGTGAGCTCCAACAACCAAAAGGGTCACCAGGTGCTTTTAGAGTCACTGCTCTAAGGCCTCCAGAAACTTCCAATCAGCTTTTCATGGCTGGTTCTGTTTGCAAAAGCAACCTGGAATTACCAGAAACTTGAAAAAGACTCAAAACATGAGAGAGAGAGACCAAAACACATCTCACAGAGCAGCTCTTTTGGGACCTTGTTTCCTTGGTTTTTCCCCGCTCCCCGCCCATTCCCAAGCTACTGCACCTTCATAGATCAGTCTGAGAACCAGTGATGTGAATGCCCCCTATAGTATTGACTACCCTTACTCTGTGTCTTCATTCTGGTCCTGTATCTCCAACCCTTGAAACTAACAAAGCCATTCATATTTATCAACATGCTCAATTAGATCTACGTTCAGTGATTTACTTGAGTTTGAATGAACAGGAAACACTTTGTGTGTGTATGTTGTGTTTATATGTGTGCTGGCCCTTGGGTTTGAACTCAGAGCCTAGACACTTATCTCTGAACTCTTTTTTGCTGAAGGCTAGCACTCTACCATTTGACTGACAGCTCTACTTTTAAATGTTTTTTGTATGTAGGTTATTGGAGATAAAGACTCACGGAACCTGGATCTCAGCCTCCTGAGTAGCTAGGATGACAGTCGTGAGCCACCAGTGTCCAGCTGAACAGAAATCATTTTAATGGGAAAATCATACAAGTACTCTTTTTCTGCTATAAATTTGTTACATTTAGTATCTGAGTTAAATGCAGAAGCAAATATACTTCTTCATGTCTGAGTAACTATGATCACTTCACTCTTCCGTGCCTTTTGTGTGTGGTGTGCCAATGTGTGTCAGTACCTTTGAACTCAGGGCCACTTACTCTCTTGGCTAGCTTGTTCATTTCTAGCACTCTACCACTTGAGCCATGCCTCCAGTTCAGCATTTTGCTGGTTAATTGGAGAGTCTTATGGGTGTTTCTGCCTGAGCTGACTTCCAATTGTAATCCTCTGAACTTATATCTCTCTCCTTTTTATTTTTTATTTTTTGGTCAGTCATGGGGTTTGAACTCTGGGCTTGGGCGCTGTCCCTCAGCTCTTCAGCTCAAGGTGAGCGCTCTACCGCTTGAGCCACAGAGCCACTTCCAGTTTTCTAGTGGTTTATTGGAGATAAGAGTCTCACCGACTTTCCTTGCCTGGGCAGACTTTGAACCGTGATCCTCAGATCTCAGCCTCCTGAGTAGGTAGGATTACAGGTGTGGGCCACCAGTACCTGGCTTTGAACTTACGTCTCTTGAGTACCGTCTCTTGAGTACCTACGTGTGAGCCACTTTCCAAATCCTTCTGCCTCTAAAGTCAAATGCTTACCCATCCTACTGCACCCTCTCGGGCAGTCTGTCTCAAATATATGACCAAAACAAGTTCCTAAATTTCGGCCTGTGGTTCAGTAATCCTAGCTATTCAGAAGGCTGATCTAAGGATCACAATTAGAAACCAGCCTATACTTCCTGTGAGACTCTTATCTCCAATTAACCACCAAAGAGCTTGAAGGGGAGGTGTGGCTCTAGAGGTAGAGCACCAGCCTTGAGTGGAAAAAGGTAAGGAACAACACTTTGGACTGAGTTCAAGCCCCAGAAGGGCATACACATACTGACACACTGACAGACAGATAGACAGACAGACAGACAGACACACACACACACACACTATCCTTAACTATGTAGAAAATAACAAATCAAAAAGGTCTCTTCATAGGTTTGTTTGTAAATGCAGGAGATAGAAGGAGAGTCACCCACAGATTCTGAGCATCTTCTAGCCAAAGCCCAACACAGAACTGCATGTTGGAGTTCCACCTCCCTACCTGTAAAGCTGCACTGCTGCAAATCGACCAGCAGCGTCTTTTCTGGTGGTGGGAGTAGTAGAGGGTACCTTCCAGTGTCAACATTCAGGTTCGATTCTAAAAGCACTTAAGAGACAAGGTCTAAGCTGCCCACATCTCTATGTCTGTAATCCTAGCCATTCAGGAGGTTTGAGATGCAATAACCTTGGTTCAAAGCCAGCCCAGGCAAGAAAATCCATGATACTCTCATTTCCAATGAACCACCAAAAAAAAAAAAAAAAGCCAGCAATGGAACTGTGGCTCAAGTAGTAGAGTGATACAACCTTGAGAGAGAGAGAGAGAGAAAAAAAAGAGCTTATAAGAACAGAGCCTGATAGGCTGGGAAGGTGGCTCAGTGGTACAGTGCTTGCCTTGCATGCCTGAGACCCTGGGTTCAATTCCCAGCACCACACATAAGCAGAAAAAGTCGGAAGTGGGGCTGTGGCTCAAGTGGTAGAACACTAACCTTGAGCTGAAGAGCTGAGGGACAGCGCCCAGGCCCAGAGTTCAGGCCCACAGCAGACAAAAAAAACAAAAAACAGAGCCTGAGCCAGATGCCTGTGGCTCACGCCTGTCATCCTAGCTACTCAGGAGGCTGAGATCTGAGGATCATGGGTCAAAGCCAGCCCAGGCAGGAAAGTCTGTGAAATCTTATCTTCAATTAACCACCAAAAAACCAGAAGTGGTGCTATGGCTCAAGCAGTAGAGTGCTTGCCTTGAGCTGAAGAGCTGAGGGACAGAGCCCAGGCATGGAGTTCAAGCCCCACAATGCGAGGGGGGGGGGGGGCAGGGGACAGAGCCTGAGTTCAAGGTGGAGGAGCAGTACCAAAAATCAACCCATCAATCAGTACAAAAGAGAGAAAGAGCAAGTGGCTCAGGCCTGTCATCTCATCCTAGCTACTCAAGGAACTGGGACCTGAGCATCAAGGTTCAAAGCCAGCCCAGGTAGCAGTGCAACTCTTATCTCCAATCAATTACCAGAAAGGGGAAAAAAAAAAAAAAGCCAGAAGTTGAGTTGTAGCTCAAAGTGATGAGTGCTAGGAGAGAGAGGGAGAGGGAGAGAGAGAGAGAGAGAGGGAGAGGGAGGGAGAGTTATCAAGCAATGGCAGGTAGTGTGACTCCTAGGGAGACAGCATGGCCAAGTTTGGGGAGGGGGGGGCCACAAAGCAAGGTCCAGGTGCTAAGATTTAAAGGTGCTTCCAGGGGGTGCCCAGCAGAGTATGTGGGGACACCACCGCTGCTCCCCTATCTTCACAGAAGGGTCTGTATTTTTTTAATAATTTTTCTCTTGGTCCATGTGACACCCACAAAACAGGCGAGATGCCCCAATGTCACCCCACTTGGGAGGGCCTGGGGAGGCTCACCTCTTTTAACCTTTCCTCTCACAACTTGGGGGTCCTCCTCTGGCTCCACACCCCCTTCCCTCCCCCCCTCAAACTCCCTCCTTCCAACCCCCTCCCACCTCAGCCCATTGGAGGTTTTGTCCCTCCCTCACACACCCCTCCCTCCCTCCTCAAGCACCCCTCAAACTCCTCCTTCCAACCTCTCACCTCACCCCCCCACCTCTGCCTATTGGGGTCCTGTCCACCCCCCACCCCTCCCTCCCTGAAGCACCCCTCAAACTCTCTCCTTCCAATCACCTCCCACCACAGTGCATTGGGGTTCCTGTCCCCCCCCATATGCCCCCCTCCCTCCCTCTGTCCCCCTCCCTCCTCAAGCACCCTTCAAACTCCCTCCTTCCAACCCCCTCCCACCTCAGTCCATTGGAGGTTTCGTCCACCCCCCCCACATTCCTCTCCCTCTTTCCTCAAGCACCCCTCAAACTCCTCCTTCCAACCCCCTCTCACCTCATCCCCCACCTCCGCCTATTGGGGTCCTGTGCCCCCCCCCCAGCACCCCCTCAAACTCCTCCTTCCAACCCCCTCTCACCTCATCCCCCACCTCAGCCTATCGGGGTCCTGTCCCTCCCTCTCTCCCTCCCTCCAGTACCCCTCAAGCTCCCTCCTTCCAACCCCTTCCCACCCCACCCTCCCACCTCAGCCCATTGGGGTCCTGTCCCTCCCTCCCTGAAGCAACCCTCAAGCTCCCTCCTTCCAGCCCCTTCCCACCCCACCCCTCCACCTCAGCCCATTGGGGTTCCTGTACCCCTCATACACCCCCCTCCCTCCCTTTGTCCCCCTCCCTCCCTTTGTCCCCCTCCCTCCCCAAGCACCCCTCAAATTCCCTCCTTCCAACCCCTTCCCACCCCACCCTCCCACCTCAGCCCATTGGGGTTCCTGTACCCCCCCATACACCCCCCTCCCTCCCCAAGCACCCCTCAAGCTCCCTCCTTCCAGCCCCCCCTCACCTCACCCTCTCACCTCAGCCTATTGGGGTCCTGATCCCCCCTCCCTGAAGCACCCCTCAAGCTCCCTCCTTCCAACCCCCCCTCTCACCTCAGCCTATTGGGGTCCTGTGCCCCCCCCCGAAGCACCCCTCAAACTCCCTCCTTCCAACCCCTTCCCACCCCACCCCTCCATCTCAGCCCATTGGGGTTCCTGTACCCCCCATACACCCCCCGCCCTCCCTCCGTCCCCCTCCCTCCCTGAAGCACCCCTCAAGCTCCCTCCTTCCAGCCCCCTCCCACCCCTCCCACCCCACCGGGGGTCCTGTCCCCCCACACCCCACTTTCCTCCCCCTTCTCGGATCGCCCCCCAGCACACACACACACACACACACACCCCACCGTGTCCCCTCCGCCGGCCGCGGGCCCGAGGTCAGACCTTGAGCGTCACGTCGCACAGCTTGCCCTGCCGCCGGATCTCCTCCATGACGCCGTAGCCGCGACTGGGCAGCTCGGAGACCGAGAAGTGCACCAAATCTTCCAGCTCCTCCGCGCCGTCCTCCACCATCTTCCGCCCCCCGCCCTCCCGCCCGCCCGGCCTCACCCCGCCCGCCCGGCCTCCCCCCGCCCCGGCCCGGGCTCGGCTTCCCCCCCTTCACCAGGGCGGGGCGAAGGCGCGCGCGCCGACGGGACGGACTGAGCCTGCGCGGCCGCCGCCGCCGCCGCCGCGCTCTCCAGACCCCGCCTCCCGGCCGCGATTTCCGGCGCCGGAAGCCTCGAGGCCCCGCCCCCTCATTTGCATACCGCGCTGTTTATTTTCCTCCTCCCGCGAACACTTCCGGACCTGGGGCTTCGTGGGGACCCTCGAAAGGAATCAACCCCCCCCCAACCCCGACCCCGCTCCTCATCTCTCTTCTGTGGTTTCCCCCTGGAACCTCCCTAGGACCCTTGAAGAAGCCATAGGGCTGGAAAGATTCCACTTCCGCCATTCCTTCCCCCCCCCCCCCCCGCACTTCCCGTCCGCGACGGGAACTTCCGGCAGCCGCCCGTTGCCATGGCGACCGCGTACACAACCCCGTCGTCGCGGCGGAGCCTCTCGGCGGCGGCGGCGCGTTTCGTTCCGGGTCTGGTGCCGAGGTTGGAAGGCCGCTGGGCACGGGGTGCTGGACGGGCCCACCCCACCCCGCCCTCCCCTCCCGCCTCCCACCCCACTCGCCCTCCCCACCCCGCCTCCCACACCACCCCGCCCTCCCCTCCCGCCCACCCCCCCACCCCGCCCTCCCCTCCCCTCCCGCCCACCCCACCCCGCCCTCCCCTCCCGCCTCCCACCCCACCCCACCCTCCCCACCCCGCCTCCCACCCCCCCTCCCCTCCCGCCCACCCCCCCACCCTCCCCTCCCGCCCACCCCACCCCGCCTCCCACCCCCCCCCCCGCCCTCCCCACCCCGCCTCCCACCCCACCCCCGCCCTCCCCTCCCGCCCACCCCCCCCCCCCGCCCTCCCCTCCCGCCCACCCCCCCCCCCGCCCTCCCCACCCCGCCTCCCACCCCACCCCGCCCTCCCCTCCCGCCTCCCCCCTCCCCTCCTGCCCATCCCACCCCGCCCTCTCCCTTCCGCCTCCCACCCCCCTCCCCTCCCGCCCACCCCACCCCGCCCTCCCCTCCCGCCTCCCACCCCACCCCGCCCTCCCCACCCCGCCTCCCACCCCACCCCACCCTCCCCTCCCGCCTCCCCCCCTCCCCTCCCGCCCACCCCACCCCGCCCTCCCCTCCCGCCCACCCCCCCCGCCCACCCCCCCCCGCCCACCCCCCCCGCCCACCCCCCCCCCCCGCCCACCCCCCCCCCCCGCCCTCCCCACCCCGCCTCCCACCCCACCCCCCACCCTGGCATTGCTGCCACGCCAGGCGGGCTGGGCTTGGCCCGGCGTGGGGGGGCGGTTAGGTGGATATGGGGGGGGTGCCCACTGACAGCTGCTGCACACACACACACACACACACACACACACACACACACACACACACCCCTGGCCAGTGTCCTTGCTGGGGTGCTGTTTCCTGACACCCCCCTCACCCTCTGTCCCCCTTTCCCCCCCCAACCAGGATCGACGATCGAGGGCGTTAGTTAGGACGGAGTTCACCGAAGTTGGTCGGGACCCATCTGGTTTTTGGAACTGGAGGGGGCTTCGGGATCCCCCACCACCCGCGGCCTTCGTCTAACGGATGGACCTGCTCCAGAGATGGACGAGAACGGGCTCCATACCCAATGCCATTCGCACTCCACACAAAGCCCCTATAGCTCAGGTAAGAAGAAGAAGAAGAAGGGGGGGAAAAAAGGTTCAAGGACTTTGTTGTTTTCTTTCTTTGTGTCGGTCGTGGGGCTTGAACTCAGGGCCTGGGTGCTGTCACCTGAGCCTCTTCTTCAGCTCAAGATTGGTGCTCTACCACTGGAACCACAGCACCACTTTTGGTTTTTGGTGGTTCATTGGAGATTGGAGGCCTCAGGGACTTTCCTGCCCCAGCCTGGCTTTGAACCATGGTCCCCAGATCTCAGCCTACTGAGTAGCTAGGATGACAGGCGTGAGCCACTGTCACCCGGCTTGCTTGCTTGCTTGCCTGCCTTCCCTCCTGCCTGTCTTCCTTCCTTCCTTCCTTAATCGGGATGACAGTCTTGTGTTCAACCCAAGGCTTGGTGATCGGGGTTTCAGATGTTGCTAGCTCTACACTCCCCACCACCCCCCCTTTTTTTTTTTGGTCAGTTGTGGGGCTTGAACTCAGGGCCTGGGCAATGTCCCTGAGCTTTTCTGCTCAAGGCTAGCACTCTACCACTTGAGCCACAGCGCCACTTCTGGCTTTTTCTGCTTATGTGGTGCTGAGGAATTGAACCCAGGGCCTCATGCATGCAAGGCAAGCACCACTGAGCCACCTTCCCAGCCCTCCCCCCCCAACCCCTTTTGGTCTAGGTAAGAACACTGGAGATCAGGACCCTCCTGGGTACCTACCATAGCACCAGAAACTCAACCTCTTTACAAGCCTGAATTCAGGGATGTTAGTGGTTGGCTCTTCTGTTCATTTCCTCCCAGAGGGCCACGTAGAGGTCTCCTGGTAGCTAGTGGAATATTTGTAAGAACCAGGCATTGGTGGCTCACATCTGCAATCCTAGCTACTCAGGAGGCTGAGATCTGAGGATCTCGGTTCAAAGCCAGCCCATTCAAGGAAAGTCCGTGAGACTCTCATCTCCAATGAACCACCAGAAAACCGGAAGTGACACCGTGGCTCAAGTGCTAGAGCGCCTGCCTTGAGCTGAAGAGCTGAGGGACAAGCGCCCAGGCCCAGAGTTCAAGCCCCAGTACCAGCAACAAGACTATAGGTTTCAGGGTTGGAGGTGATGTGGGAAGGGAGTGGCATCAGCTATCCCTTGGGACTCTCTAGGTCGTGACTGATGATGGACCCATTTACGAAGATTCAGCCACCCTCTGACTTCCAGCCATGAACATCCCCATTCTCAACCAAACACCATTTGTCAAGCCTCTCTTGTTTGCTGGGCACTCTTCTGGATATTGTGGGGGAGGGGGATTCCGAAGGGATAAAAGGCCAAGTCCCTTGCCCTTGAGCAGTTGGTACTCTTAATTTGGGAGCTGACACCCACACCAATGAAGCGGCATAAAAGCAGTAGCAAGGAGTCCTTCCGTAAGTGCAAAATGGCATGGGGTTCCCCCCTGAATGTCAGGGTGCTTGAGGGGCTGCTGAATAGCAGGCACCCTGAATGCATGCAGCTACTAGGAAAGGCCTGTGGCTAGCTGGGTATGGGCCTGGCATGCTTCGAACCCACGGCCTGAGCATGAAGAGGACTGTGGTCCTCACACTTCATCCGTAAGGTGACTGCATGTGCATGTTGGTGATGGGCAGAAAGGGAGAGCTCTGGGGGATGCTCTTGAGCCAGCTTGTGCTACTAGTGTGCAGGGATTTCAGGGAGGGAGATTGGTGCCCCTGCTGCTAGAATTCTCCTTTTCCTTTGTTTCTTTTCTTTTTGTCAGTCGTGGGTCTTGAACTCTGGGCCTGGGCGCTGTCCCTGAGCTCTTCAGTTCAAGGCCAGCGCTCCACCACTTGAGCCACAATGCCACTTCCAGTTTGGAGATGAGTCTCATGCACTTTGCTGCCTGGGATGGCTTTGAACTGCTATCCTCAGATCTCAACCTGCTGAGTAGCTAGGATGACAGGCGTGAGCCACCAACACCCAGTTTCATTTTGGTCTTTTTTTTGGGTCAGGAGTGGGAAATGACCAAAGCAGCCTGCAAAGCAGGAAGTCCTCAGGGATGGGAAGAAAATGGATTGCATGTCACTGTTTTCCTGATCTCCTCTTCTATTTAATGATGGCTACTACAAATGTCATTGTTCTCTTCTCTTTAGCTAGAACAGGTACTAGGAAAAAGGTTCAGACATTTGTCCGTGTCAAACCCACTGATGACTTTGCTCACGAAATGATCACATACGGAGAAGACAACAAAGTAAGTGGACTGTTTGCTCTCACCGGCCTGGACTTCTCTTTCTCTGTTCATTGTCACCCTGTTTCTGACTGTTCTAAGACCAGAGCAGAATTGGGAGAAGCCCAGAGGGACTTTGGTCCATCAAATCCCAAACATGCCGACGGAAAGAAATTCAGGAGGTTCTCATTTTTAATTGCTTTTTGTTTTTGTTTTGTTTTAACAAGTTTCCTTCCCCCCCCCCCCCCCCCCCCCCCCCCCCCCCCCCCCCCCCGGTCATGAGGCTTGATCTCTGGGCCTGGTGCTGTCCCTGAGCTCTTCAGCTCAAGGCTAACGCTCTTCTACTTGAGCCACAGTGCCACTTCTCGTTTTTTTTTAGTGGTTAATTGGAGATAAGAATCTCATCGACTTTCCTTCAGTGGGCTGGCTTTGAACCGAGATCCTCAGATCTCAGCCGCCTGAGTTGCTAGGATGACAGGTATGAGCCACCAGCACCTAGCTTTTTTTTTTTCCTTTTTAATCCACTCTGGTACTGGAGTTTGAACTAAGGGCCTTGTGCTTGTTAGGTAGACACACTTCCATTTGAGCCACACTCCAACCTTTCAATTGCCTCTGTGTATGCCTCTGGTACCAAGGCTTCAACTCAGGGCCTTGCACTTTTGCTCAGTTTTTTTTTTTTTTGTGTTGGTCCTGGGGCTTTTAACTCAGGGCCTGGGCACTGTCCTGGAGCTTTTGTGCACTGTCCTGGAGCTTTTGTGCTCAAACCTAATGCTTTACCACTTAAGCCACAGCTCTACTTCTGGCTTTTTTGGTAGTTAATTGGAGATAAGAGTCTCTCAGACTTTCCTGCCTGAGTTGGCTTTGAACTGCAATACTCAGATCTCAGCTCAGCTTTTTCAGTCAAGACTGGTGATTTACCACTTGAGTCATGCTTCCACTTCAGCTTTTTGGTAGCTAATTGGACAATAGTCTCTTGGATTTGGATTCTCGTCTATCCAGGGCTCTCCTGTGTTTCTCAGATATCAGCTTGCTGGGTAACTAGGATTATAGACCTGATGTGTCTTCGAACGGGTTTTGGTGATTTATTTATTTATTTATTTATT